AAGAGGGCTTTGTGGGAGGACTGCCTCAGCATTCATCTTTCAGGATACACCAGTTACTTACTTCTTCTGATTTTGGAGCAGTCTTCATATCTTTAGTGAATCTAGTTTCCTCCAACTCAGAGAAGACCCTCTATTTTTACGCTTCCCAGAGAACTTTCAAATGTCAGTCACTTCCCAGAAGCATAGAGAGGAAAAAGGATGCAGGACGCACAGAATTTCTGTTTTAAGGGTCTTCCTTCACTTCCAGGTCCAGAGGGCTCTGATACTATCAATTTGAGAATCTCTGGAAAATTCTGAGGTATAAATCAGGTTAGCCTTCAGCTTCCCCTACTGACAACTCAAGATTCTCGTGTTTCTTGAGTTGGTTTGGTCAGTTACTTGTCATCAATATGTTTTGTAGCTTCCAAAATTTTATTGCTTTTGACATGTTTCCTAGTCTCCCTGTATTTGTGGTTGTGTGTCTTAAAAACAAACAACTTTTATTGTAAATTTAGTGTGATTTTAGGCAGGAGTAAAATTAGGGTGGTGTGTGTGTGTGTGTGTGTGTGTGTGTGTGTGTGTGTGTGTGTTTTCATCTTAACCCAGATAAAACATTTTATTTGAAATGATTAAGTTCCTTGGACTAGGCATGGTGTGATCTCTGACCTGGGTAGCCAGGCACCACATCCAATGCTCTTTCTAAAGTAAAAAGATTTCAGTGGCCAGGTTTCTGTATCTTGCCCTACCTGTCCAGTTGCACACACTCAAACTTCACTCCTTAATTTCCTGCCATATACCTCGGTTCTTCTATAACTGGAATCTTCTCCTTAATTTTCGGCTTCATCTCACAAAGCAGCAAGCAGAGCTAGCAGGAGTCTTTCTGAATACAAATAGTTATGGTTTTCATAATAGTACACTTGGAGATCCCCTAATTCCTTATAGCTTTCCAAAGGGATGGAAATATATAGGCTAGAGGCTGGGTTTTTGCTTGTTTGTTCGTTTTTATTGCATTTTAGATTTTGGGGTACATGTGAAGAACATGTAAGATTGTTGCATATGTACACACAGGGCAGTGTGGTTTGCTGTCTTCCTCCCCATCCCCTATACCTGGCATTTCTCCCCATGTTATCCCTCCCCAACTCCCCACCTGAGGCTGGGGTTTTAAGAATCAGAGTATGATGTCTGTTAAGCTCACAGTCTCCGACAAAAGGTAAGGAAGTGCTGGCCTCTTGTGCACTTTGTCTAGTCTAGCAATGCCTACATGCCTTTACCTTTTTCTCTCCCCAAATGGCTGACTCTTTGCTATCCCTATGAGCTTTCTCCATTCCCTTCCCCTTCTGTTGTTTTGTGTTTTCCAAGTCCCCACCATCCCAAATCTGCTCCAACTGCACCGGGTTCTGATTTAAGTCACCCAGGCACTAAGAACTTTACATGTTCAAACTCAATTAATCTTTACAAGAACCCTATTATTATTCTTGTTTTACAGACTCAGAAATTGTGCACAGAGAGGTTAAGTAAACTTCACCAAAGTCACACACCTAGTAAGGCAGAGTCCAGATTTGAACGCAAGAAATTTGACTCCAAAATACATCTTTATTCCACTATGCTATAGGCTACCTATAAATCATATCCACATGCCAAATACAGTTTTATGATATGCATATCAATAAAAGTATACAAATTACTATATATATTCATTTATTCCTCACAGCAACCCTAAATTCAAGCAAACAACCAAACAGAAAAAATGTTAAAGATCTGAACAAAATTAACAACTTGATCTAATATTAGTACACATATAGAATTCTGCCCTCGATATTTGGAGAAAACACATACTTTTACAGCACATGTAACATTTACAAACATTAACTATAAAATAAATCTTAAAAACTTTCAAATTATTGGAATCATACAGACCATTTTCTATGATCACAATACAGTTAAGTTGAAAAGCCTAAAAACATAACATAAACCTATATACCTGGAATTTTTAAATCACATTTAAAAACTCATGGATCAAAAAATAAATCATAAAGAAAACTAGAAAATATTTATAACTGAGCAAGGAAAATGCAACATTTTAAAGCTTATGAGAGTCAGCCAAAGTGGTAATTAAAGAAAAATGTCATTTTAAATGCTTATTTTAAGAAAAAAAGAAAGTTAGAAAATCATTAAGCTAGGTATTCAATTTAAGAAGTTAGAAAAATAACAATGAGATAGAAACAAAGAGAATAGTAGATAAATAATAAGTGCAGAAATGCATAAAATATAAATAATTCTCAGTTAGGATTAGCTGGTAATACTCTCTCTCAGAATTAAAAAGTAGAAAGATTATTTCTAGAAAGGGTAAGAGAAGGCCAGTCACAAACACCTATATATATTTTTCTATTTTAAACTCCTTAAATGAATTTTACAGACAGACTTAGAGGACATTTCCTTTTTAAATGACATTTATTTTTTCTAGTAATTTAAGTACATAACACATTTTCAAAAGAAAATTTGAAAATACTGAACAATGTAAAAAAAAGAGATATAAGTCATAATCCTATCAATGGGTGATAATTATTAACTTTTGTATACTTGTGCTTTCTTTCTTCAGCCTGTTGCATCTGGTCTCCCATCCAAGTAATAACCTGGTCCAACCCTGCTGAAGCTTCCGATGTTAGGCATTTTCAGGGTGGTATGACCACAGATAATGTAACTATTACATTTTAAATATTTTTCTGGTCTTTTCATATCTGAAGGTTTATACATGTCTACATGTAATTATATGGTTACTTAATTAAAAATTTGGGCTCAAACTGTACATATATATGTATATATATATATATATATATATATATATGTGTGTGTATGTGTGTGTGTTTGTGTGTGTGTGTGTGTGTGTGTTTTCTTTTTTCCTATTTCCTTTGAATTCACAAGGATATAAAACATGCATATTCAGCTTTTTTGTATTCAGCTTTTTTAACTTAAAATTACATGATTAGCATATACTCTTCAAATATAGAATATTTGAAGGCTATATTAAAATTTAATTTTCCTGATAGAGATATCATGCTGCATTTGGCTGTAGCTCTGATATGTCCAATGCTGTGGTGGAGTCATTTGGCAAACATCTATTAATATTCCATTCAATGTATAGTGCCATGCTGAATCTAAACAAGAGATAGACAGTCCAAAAGTATCTGGTAAACTGATGAAGTGGACCTGCTAGAAGTCTGTTTACAAGAGCGCTGAGGAGACTTTGAGAGAATTTTTGACAAGATGGTCCTGGGTATGACTAGCTTATGGGATTGCTAGAGAAACCCTGGGCTGTCAGAGGGGAGAGGTCACCCTGAGTACAACATGGTGTCTGTAGGTTGGGTTTGTCTCCTGGCCCAAGTCCCTCAGACCTCATGTTTATGTTCTTTGGAAAGTAGAGTTATTGAATGAAGCTCTGCAATACTCTGGAGCTTAAGCATCTCTGTCTTGGCATCCCTCCAACCCAACATCTAGAAAAGGGAAACTTTGGTTGGGTCATTTTGGTTGCAATAAACAGAGCTGCACTGATTCAGTGGTGGGGGTTACTGAAATGATCAGCACAGTGACAAAGAAGAAAGACTATCTAGAAATCCAAGAGTAGAAACCAGGCCTAGTGTATATTGTCACTGTTCATTGTGGGCAAAGGCAGTTTTAGGAAGCTTTGGAGCAGAAGTTCACATATCCTCATTTTAATATGATACCATTATTAAGATGAACCAGATACTCTCTGTATGTTGGCTTCCTTCTTTATCCTTTAATCATTTCTTGCGGCAATGTTCAGGTTGCTTCATTCTTAGCTTCCTAGTTCAAATTCTGATGCTTGAATAACCACCAGTCTTGTTTGTACAGTGTTTTGCTCCAGGCTAAGTCAGAAGCCACTGGGAAAACAAGAGGCTGTCCATGACTCTGGGGTCTGTCCCAGTTCAATCAGCCGAACCCAGAACATGAGGGCATGGCTTGCTTTCAAGATGCTAGTTTCAGCAAAGGCTGTGAAAGGCGCTTTGGTTGGCACCTAAAGGTTGGCAGACAGCAAGGAGAAAGACATTCTCTCCCACATCCCCCCAGCCTACTTTCTGGCTTTGGCACAGATCAAGTGTTGGCAGACCGTTGTTAACAGTGCCCATGGAGGAGACAAATAGGGAAATGGCAGAAGTGTTGAGGCCCAGTGCACCTGTGATGTAAGCAGTGCTCAGCAGGGTAAATTATAAGAAGCAGAAAACCTGGTATGAGCATTCAACACTGAGTGCCTACTGGGTCCACTGTGTGCTGGGTCCTATGGATGGTGGAAAAATTTATAAGATGTGGCTACTGTCCACGAGGAAGTCATGGCATGTGTAGGTGGAAAGTTTGTAAATGTTCTACTTTTTAATTACTTAAAAATAAATATAGATACTGGTAACTCCCCATGACACAGCTATCGACTGGTCAGTGGTCATTTTCTCTTGCCCATTGAGCATGTTCCCTAGTTGCTCACTTATTTTAAGACTACCTCTTCTAGTCCATCACACTCATCATCAGGAGTCAGAAAGGAAGAGCAAGAGTTTAGTTTGACTGTATAAGCTTATATAAAACTCTTTTTGGCTTATCTGTATCACTACTTCCTCATTGAATGTTGATGGAAGTGTCATTCCATGATGTTTACAAATAATGTTGAGGAATGTGGAAAGAGCATATGCCTTAAAGTTTGGAAAAATAAAAAAGAAATTTAATAGTGAAAATGAGTTTAGAGAATATTTTCATTAAAACATATTCAATAAAGAAATATTGGAATGTATAGAAAAGTGGGAAGAAGGATCGTCAGTGCCCCAAATCAAGCATAGTTGGCATTGTGTTATATTTCCTCTTAGATTTAGTTTTCATCCTAAATTTTGATTATTAGTGTTTCATTTCCTTTAAATAGTTATACTGTAAACATGAATTTGTAACCTGCTTTTTGATGTAGCATTATTTGTAATTTTTAAAACATCATTTGTAATGACTATGATTTTACAACCACATAGCACTCTTTATTTTTTATTTAATTTTTTAATATCAGAAAGCGTTCACAGTATTTCCCACTCTTATACCTTCCTCTAAGTTTAGAATTTTGGAGTGTTTCTAATATTAAATAATGTTGCAACATACATATTTGCATAAATTCTTCTCTCATATTCTTATTTACTTCCCTAATATAAATTTTTAGAAATGGATTTGTTTGATCAAAGGGTATAAGTATTTCTGAAGTTCCTAATGGCCCACAGCATGAGGGTCATGTGATATACAACATTACTTAAAAAAGCATTCTAAATAGAGGAGGGGTGGCATACTTGCACGTGCAGTGAGGACTGCAAATTTCACAAATAAACACCAAATGGAAAAAGCACCATCATTTCAATATTGTCCTCAAGTCTACGCAGTTGGCATAAGATCTAGATAGATGGCTGTGTCTTGATAATGGAAAACACTTTTGTCCTTATTCAAATGATTCCAGGCTACAGAGAAAAAGGAAAAACAAAGTGATTAAAGTTACAAATTTGGCTTGATTAGTAATCCACAATCCAGATAACAACTTAAACTTACATTTCATATTCAAAATGTGATAGAACAGAAAAACATCTATTTGAAATTGCTAGGAAAGGTATTACACATTCTGTATTGTTAAACAAAATACAAGAGATCTCATTCATGATTTTTCTTCACTCTGGACTTGTTGATAATAGTTTCAACCATAACTAAATTAACATTAGTATTTTAGGAGATGAAGTAGAAGTAGTTTCAATAGGATAAAGAGATATTTCCCTTCTTCAAAAGCACTCACTATGCACTCAAGATAAAGGTTTATTAGTTGAATGTAGCGCATTCAGAAGAGAAGTTATTTCATTGAGATAAGGTTCTGAGCCTTTGCTTATCTTATGAACAGGAAAATTCTTGATAAATGGTAAAACTTCTTTATGCTTTGGGTTATCACTACATAGAATACTAAAACATTGCTCATTCAAAACATTTATGAAGTCTTACCATACAATAAGAAATGCAGATTTTACAATTACTGAGTTGATTCAACCCATATAGATAAGCCAAGACACATTGGGATATCAGAAAAAACTGAGATATTAGAGCTTGAGTAAAGGTGAGGGTAGTAGAAATGGGGGGGTGGATGATGGAATTCTAAAGTCTTTTTAACAAGATTCATTGAATCCTGGAAAGTGAGAGTAATATGGATGAGCTACATACAGGTGCCCATGAGAATCTGTTACCTGGATGATCACTGAATAGCTTCCACACAGTATCTTGGATAATTGAATGACTACTCTGATGAGGCAGATGATCACTTGAAGCCCACTGAGGCTTATAAGAATGGAAAATAAAATGATGTTCCACTCCACAACATGTGCAGGTTCCAGGCACTGAATCCATATGCTGGAATCTGTAAGGAAACTGAGAGAGAGACCCATGGCCAAATCTACATACTGGGTCCAAGGAAGAAAGCTACAGGTATTTACATGTTTGAGAAATTACTGTGTGACTAAAATATGTAGATACACAGATAACAAATTATATAGATAACAAATTGTATAGATAATTTGTTATTAGATACAAGTTAAAATATTTTAAAAACCATTCAGATACACATTTTGGACACATCATATGCATAGCACTGAGCTAGACACTTAGTTTATTGTAAATGTGGCGCCTGCCTTACCACTCCCATGACCTCTCCTCTTCATTTTTCTTTCTCCTCTTCCATTTCTTTCCTGCTTCCTTCTTTTTCACTCTTTCCCCACCTTTATTTATTTCCTACTCTCTAATGCTCCAGGAAATAAAGGCATTTTGGGAATTTCTTGATATTGTTAATGGTCCTTGTCTCCAACAGGAAAGAGCACTGAATATGAAATCAGAATTCCTGGATCCATAGGATATTGAGCAAAGAACTTGATCCCGCTGGCCTCCAGAGTCTTATCTTAATAAGGGGGTTAAAATATCTAACTTTAGAGTTATTGTGAATATTTGGTAAGAGTGTATAAAAGTGGTTTGGAACCTGTAAAGTACAGTAACAGTGGTTTTCTGCTAAATTTCCCTAGATCTATCTCATATCCTATTTACCCCTATCACTGTCTCAGCCACCAGGGAAGTGAGTCCCTCCAGACCCTTTTTCTATATTGTTCCTAGTACATGCTCTGCACAGATCATGTAGCAGTGTAAAACAAGATGACTTGCAGGGCTTCTGCTTTTCTCCAGACTAGGGTACTGTTTATCCTTCTTGTAAACTGCAGAAAGGCATAAGTGCTCTGGCAGGGTTGGGGAGGAACAGAGAAGCTTGCCCTGACGCCCACTCCCTCCACTACCTCCACACACTGCTCTATGACTCTATGACAGCACTGACTTCATTTGTTGTAATTCTATCTGTATCTGTGTATCTATCTGTGGCTGTATCTGTACCTGCAATGATTTTTATTCCCTTAGCAGACTGTACTCTGAGAGCACTGACCATGATTTGCTCATCTCTGAAGGGCCAGCTCTAAACTCTAAGGTCGTGCTTGACAAGTTGTAAAGATCAGTAAGTATTTGTTGGATGAAAACAAATTCAGGATCCTCACCAGCCACCATGCCAGTGACTAAATCTGTCGGCTACCTGGCAGGTGGGGAATGCCACCTGTTAATAATAAAACCTGAAAATTTATCACATCACATTTGTGCATTACTTCCATTTAATTCTAAATTCTATGAGATAGAAGTGATTCTTGTTTCCAACTTACAGAAGCTCAGAGATAGCCAGATAATTGTCTAAGATCGTGGAGCTTTATAAGTAGGAGGGAGGGACTTAAATTTCGATCTATAACCATCAAACACTTGTGCTCCAAGGCCAATGCTCATTCACCTTAAGGTTTCCATCTTAGTAGAATGTTCTGTCAGGTCTGTATGAGTTCCTGGAGGGAACGGACTGTCTGTGGTTTGCCTCTGATGCTCCAGCTCTTATTGCGAGGCCTAGAGACCTAGTCAGTGCTCAATGAATATTTGCTGAATAAATGCACAAATGAATAACTGATATGACAATTCAGTATTAACACCTGCCCCACCCTGTATTTGTCAAGCCTTGGAAACTTCTTGAGGGGACCAGAGACTTAGCTTCCCTGTGTTGCCTCCAATCAATGTTTCACCTTGAAACATTTTTATATAGATGGAAACAGGTGAAAAAAAGCCTCTGAGGCAGCTTAAGGGAGTAATGGAGGGGCATATGGGCAGCCTAGAGAGTCATGACTTAAAAGGGGAGGTTTTGGCCTGGTGCAGTGGCTCACACCTGTAATCCCAGCACTTTGGGAGGCTGAGGCAGGCAGATCACCTGAGGTCAGGAGTTCGAGACCAGCTTGACCAACATGGAGAAACCCTGCCTCTACTAAAAATGCAAAATTAGCAGTGTATGGTGGTGCATGCCTGTAATCCCAGCCACTCAGAATGCTGAGGCAGGAGAATCGCTTGAACTCAGGAGGTGGAAGTCACCAAGATTGCACCATTGCACTCCAGCAAGGCCAACAAGAGTGAAACTCTGTCTCAAAAAAAAAAAAAAGAGGAAGGTTTTGGTTTTGAGTAAGAAAAAGCTCAGGGGCCGATGGTGTTAAAAAGGTGTCTTTTGCACTCAATGGGAATTTCTATATTACAGTCCTCTTTACTGAGTCCTGTCAATCCCACAAGAGTGTCTCCTCCAATTGCTCAGGAAGGTCTGGAGTTATTGTCTAGGTTTCCTGACCTGAGGGAGAGTCATGTTTACTAAAAGAGGTCATGGTATGTGGCACCATGTAAAATCTTCTGAATGAAGGCAGCTATAGGCACAGAAGCAGCTATGGCCATGCAGGCCTAGATGCACGTGTAAGATCTCAGATAGACATAGGCCTTGAACAAATAAAGCCAATCATGGAGAGTTGAGAAGAAAATATAACTTCCCCCAGCGAATGGTACAAACACTCCCTCATTTTACGCCATTAGAATTTTGAGCACAGGCTAAAAACAAGGAGAGATTCAATGGACCTCTCCTGTGTTTATTTCTGGGCCCTGCTACCTCCTAATCTGCATCTGGTGCCGGGAACCCAATACACCCAGCACAAGGCCAGTGTGAGGCATTCTGAGATCCAGGATTGGGTTGCGAGGTTCATGACTAAATTACTAGTTTTCTGAGCAAGGTTACCTCTTTAGATCCTTCTCTAGTATAAGCTGCATACGCTCTGCTAATTCCACAAACTCCTGTACCTAATCATGTTCCTAGATCTCAGACTGTATTTCCCTGCTCACCCTGCCTGATTCTATCTCTTTATCATGCCTCCTAGTACAGCCCTGAGTGGCACTGTTCAAGAGCACCATGGTTTCTCTCCTCCTCAAGCCCTTTCACACTTGTAACAAACCACACGTCCAGCCTGGCCTAAAACAAAATTGAGTTGCTGGAACCACCCAGGCCATAAGCTCCAGCTGTTACCAGACCATAGTAATCACACAACTTTAATCTGAAGTATGGGAGAACACACCTTTCATTTGGATATCTCCATGACAGCCTCAAGACATTGAATGAAAATGGCATTAAAAGACTGAAGAAAAAAAATCTAAACAAAGATCCACGTAAGAACAAATTGGTCTGGATATTGGTAAACTAATAGGAACATTCTGCACTAAAACAGCCACATGGAACCCCAAAGTCATCACTGAAAATAACTGTGAGCATGGGCATGAGGCCAGGTATTTCTGATTTTCTGACCTCTTGGCTTGGGGAATTATTCCTTACCGTCCAGCAGTGCCTTCAAAAGCATACTCCCAGCCACCGAGGGTGCGGCAATATGGGCCCTGGACAAGGCCCAAGGCAGAGATGACCAGGCAGTATCCAGAAAAGGCAATTCCAAGGGAAGAAAAGATAATTGACAGCAGTGTCTAAATTAAAATATAGTAGCAGGTTAGTGCCATAGAATGCGACAAGGGGATATTGTGGATAAATTATCAGAAAGCTACATTCCCCTATTCATCCAAGCTCATGCAGTCTATGCAATACTAAATGCCCACATACAAATAAAAACAAAAGTAATCCAAACCTATTTGGTCTTAAAAATAAGTTTTTAAATAACCTTTTGTTTGGCATCACACAGAGGTAAGTAGGTAATTTACTAAATTTATTTTTTCTTTTTGGAATTTTGATATTAAAATAATGATCACCTCTTATAAAAATGCAGTGAAGGATGTGATCAATCAACCCATAACTATTTATTGATGAACTGCTATTTTCTAGGTAGGGTGGGTTCTCTAAGAATTACAAGCTATGACCTCTGCTTTCCTCTTGTAAAGATATCTTAATATATTTACAAGACTATAAAGGAAAATATCAGGTGTAACCTCAGTATTTATACACACATTCAAGTGAGGGTAGAATTGATGGAGAGGGGTGTTTTCATTTGAGTAGAGAGAATGGGTGATAGTTACAGGCAGATCAGTGCAAGCAGAGCTGTGAGAAAATAGGTTTAATCTAAGAAGGGTTTATTCAGATGAGTGAGGAGAAAGGTTCTGAAGACAGAGTGACATCGTACTAAAGCTGGGAAAACAAGGTTGACAGGACACAGTTATGCTCTTGAGTAGTTTTAAAAGTGAGTACAGCTTGGTAGATCCAGGCCAGAGCTGGCCTTGAATGCCAGATCAAGGAATCTGGACTTTATCCTTCTGGGCAAGGGGCTTCCCTCCCCACAACCTTTCATTTAAAAAATTTCAAATCTACAAAAAATTTGAAAGTATAGTACAATAAATCCCTACATACCCTTTACCTAGAATCACCTAAGTGAATATTTTACCATATTTGTTTTTGCTTTCTCCCTTCTCTGTGTGTACATACTCGTGCAAAGTATATATAAACACCTGTTCATATATATACACCTGTGTATTTATTAAATGCTTTTGTTACTGAGCCATTTGAAAGTAGGTTGCAGGCATTATGATATTTCACCCCTAAATATATCAGCATACATCTTCTAAGAATAAAAATACTCTATTATTTTGTGGCTTTAAACGTTTTTGTACAGGATCCAATAAAGGTTTATGTACAAGATTATATCTCTTTAGTTTAATTCTTCCTTTTTGTTTTTTGGGCTGTTCAACTCTTTTAAAGAATCTCAGACAGTTGTCTTGTAGAATATCTCACATTCTGGGTTTTTCTGATTATTTTCTCACAATTGAATTCAAAAATTTTAGCGAGTATACTTAATGGGTGTGGTGTACATTGTGGGCCTCTCATGCTAAGGGTGGTGCTAAGTTTGATCTCTTGGTTAAAGATGTCCTTCAAATCTCTCCCCTGGAAAGGTACATTTTCCACTTGCAATTAATAAATAGCTGCCAACATAATGCATTGAGACAGTGTCATATTCTGTTTCTTAATAACATTTCAACTAATGGATTTAGCATCCACTGAGATCCTCATATTCATTGATTACCAGTGATCACTGGGATTCCAATGCCGTGCTTTCATAATGCTGTCATTTCTCTCCATTTGTGTCACCATTTTTCTGCACAGAACAACTTCCGTTCCCATTTCACTCTCCTTTGCCTCTCTCTATGTTATCTGGACTCATGGAGCTTCTAATTCACTAAACTATAATCCATAAATGCTATTATACTTTTAGATGTACAGATAGTCCAAATTTGGCCAGTGGGAATATCCCTGTAGGTCAACTCCTATGCCCTTTGACACACTCCTGTCATTCTTTGAGCATGTTCTTGCTTTCTGGTACAAGATGTTCCAGGTTCATTTTGAGCTTATTCCTTCGTAAACCTGGAAGAAGCTGGGGTTTTGTCGTTTTTTTTCTTTGTTGTTGTTTTGAGATGCAGTCTCACTCTGTCACCCAGGCTGGACTGCAGTGGCCTGATCTTGGCTGACTACAACCTCCAACTCTTGGGTTCAAGTGATTCTCCTGCCTCAGCCTCCTAAGTAGCTGGGATTACAGACTCCCTAGCTAATTTTTGTATTTTTAGTAGAGATGGACTTTCACCATGTTGGCCAGGCTGGTCTCAAACTCCTGACCTCAGGTGATCTGCCCACCTTGGCCTCCCAAAGTGCTGGGATTACAGGCATGAGCCACTGTGCCCAACCAGAAGCTGTTTTTTAAACAAGTATTGTAATTGGTTTTTGAGCGAGGAAGTGATATGCCCAAAATGTGTTTTTGGAAGAATCTGAATCATAGTTTTATTTTCTGTAAACTGTAGATGACGTCGACAGGAATAGCACCTATGTAACAGGGTGATTTCAAAAATAAAATATAATAAAATATTAGCTATGATTCCAAGTGCCCTTATTGAGCCAATATTTCCTTTCCAGGAATAATTGTCTAAGAATTTTGGCAGAAAACCAGACTCCATGTTGGAATGGATAATATTTTAGTTCCTGCTGCTATAACAAAAATAGCTTAGACTGAGTAATTAACAATAGAATTTTATTATTTACACTTCTGGAGGCTGGAAAGTCCAAGATCACTGGCAGATTCAGTGTCTGGTGAGGGCCCATTCCTCATAGATGGCACCTTCTATGTGTCCTCTCATGGTGCAAAGGGTTTAAGAGTGCTCCCTTCAACCCCTTTTATAAGGGCACCAGTCTCATTCATGAGGGAATAGCCATCATAACTTAGTCACATCCAAAAACGTCCCACCTCTTAATACCGCCATGGTAAGAATTAGGTTTCCATGTGTTTTGGAGGAACACATGCAGGCCATAGCAGATAACAGCCAATAAGTGAATCAACTTTCATTACATTTCGGAAGTTACAAACTGATGCAGACTCAAATTTTCCTGCAAGATGTACTTTGTTTGGTTTAAATGAAGATTAACTGCCAATATTTTACAATTGAAAAGTTTTACACAGAAATCCATATTTTTACTTTCTACTGAAAACTGAGAATTATTGCCCACTTCATCATGGAGACAACTGGCTGGATTTGAATAGCAGCTCCTTCCCCTCCTTGGGTGGAAACTGTGCTCTGATGCCTACCAGATTCATTTCATTCATTTATATCACACATGTGGCTTCTGGGGGGCATTTTAATTGAGACTTCTTTTTTTTTATGACTTTTTTTATTGTACCTTAGGTTCTGGGATACATGTGCAGATCATGCAGATTGTTGCATAGGTACGTACATGGGAATGTGGTTTGCAGCCTCCGTCCCCCCATCACTTATATCTGGCATTTCTCCCCATGTTATCCCTCCCCACCCCCTGCTGTCTCTTTCCTAGCTCCTGCCAACAGACCCCATCCAGTGGGTGATGCTCCCCTCCCTGTGTCCTGGCTTAAAAAATTTAATTGTGTCCGGGCGAGGGAGCTCACACCTGTAATCCCAGCACGTTGGGACGTCAAGGCAGGTGGATCATGAGGTCAGGAGATTGAGACCATCCTGGCTAACACAGCAAAACGTTGTCTGTACTAAAAATACAAAAATTAGCCTGGCATGATGGCGTGCATCTGTAGTCCCAGCTACTCAGGAGGCTGAGGCAGGAGCATTGCTTGAACCCGGGAGGTGGAGTTTGCAGTGTGCCGAGATTGTGCCACTGCACTCCACTCCAGCCTGGGTAACAGAGGGAGACTCCATCTCAAAAAAAAAAGAAAAAGAAAGAAAGAAAGAAAAAAGAAAACAAGAAAAAAGAGAAAATCTGTTTGTATTATTCTCCCTGATACTATTTTTTTTAAAGTGCCAATTTAAAAAATGCATATCACATACACCCAACAACATGGATGAATCTAAAAATTATCCTGGATGAAAAAAGCCAGATAAAAAAGACAAATACTGTATGATTCCACATATATAAAATACAAACTACTCTATAATGACAAAAAGTAAATCAAAGGTTAATCTTTTGAAGTTGGCAGAAATACTCTGTTATCTTGACTGCAATGGTGGTTTCATGTGTGTAGTCAACAGTTCAAACTCATGATATTGCATAATTTTAATGGATGCCATTTATTATATGTAAATTAGCCCTTAATAAAGTTTATAAAGAAAAAATATACTAACAGAAACTCAGTTAGGAAAAAGTATTACTTCCTAATTTTATGTATCTTTAAATCCTGATTTTCCAAAAGAGCATCAGTAGAACAAAGGTGGAGGAAAGACTAGGCAAAATGAAAGATAATCTTGGCAGTAAACTCTTCTCTGTACTGATAGGGTACAGTAGTGAGGGTACAATACTGTCAATATTTTTGTGTTTCTGAGTGACAGGAAAGAAAGTTGGAGCCCACTCAACCATCCTCAAAAAAACCATTGCTCTTACCACATATTTTTTGCCGCAGTTTTCACTCTGGCAACATTTATATTTGTTATTATTCTCCAGTACCAGAAGAACTGTTGTTACTATAAGCATCTATGGGAGGGAAGAGATAAAGTGTTAGTAATGAAATGCTGGTTTACATTTGTGCTTATAATCAGAGGACGGTGACTTCAAGCATAGATTCTGGGGTCAGGTAGATCTGGGTTTGAATCCAAGCCCTGCCACTTTCCAGCTGTATAAATTTGGGACTCCTTCTCTATGAAATGTTATCAAGAGGTTGTTATGAGGTAATATATGTGACCTTTTGAGTATAGTGGTTGACTCATAGTAAGTGACTGATAAATGTTGACTATTATTATCATGGTCACCTGCCATCGAACGCTAATGATTAAGGAGAAGTAAATGGTATGAACATGAGAATACCACCCTGCCTTTCTCTATGACTCAGTTGTAGAGACCCAAGGAAAATCATTCACCAGACTTTGTAGTTTGCTAGCCTCTCTTCATTTACTGTCCTCCAGGAATGGAGGTGAGAGGCTCAGATAATTGGAAAACATATCTCTTTAAAGTGAGTTCAATTTCCCCATGTATTCAAACCATCTCAGGTTTAAATTGTTTCAGTGTTCTTTGTCTGTATCAAGCCAACAAAGTGGGAGAATTCGATGAATTCTATTTTCTTTTCTATCTTTTCTTTCTTCCTTCCTTCTTTTCTCTCTCTCTTTCTCTCTCTCTTTCTTTCTTTCTTTCTTTCTTTCTTTCTTTCTTTCTTTCTTTCTTTCTTTCTTTCTTTCTTTTTCTTTCTTTCTTTCTTTTTTTGTATTTTAGGCAAAAGGCTAGAGCTAGAACATGAATTTCT